TAGGTAACACAGATACAACTGTGTAAAAATTGCTGGCAAATGACTTTTTAAATGTATCCCATTTATTTATTATGGACACCAATTTTACCCTTTTAAAAATCACAATCTTTCTTAATGGTGGCCTTGATCCTGCACAGTGCAGACAGGGATTGTAGTACACAGTATAAAGACATGAGCAAGACAGGGAGCGCAGGGGAAGCTGATCGTGCATTAATGAAAGCTCTGCTGTGTGGCTGCCAGAATGCTCCTGACTAATAGCACAGCAAGGCCAAAGGGGAGCAGTTAGCTAAGTGCCTTCTTTGCACTCTGCGGATGGCACTGAATTCCTCTTTTTCAGACACACCCAGTTGTGCACCCCCACATCACTCCCCTTTTTGGCCATGCATGCTACTCTTTTTCTATACAGTCTCCTCTCACTTACACCCATGTCACACAGTTGATTTCAGTGGTGTTACTCCTGATTTACACCAATGTCATGTGAGAGGTGAATCAAGCCTTTAACATTCAGTTTATAGTGGGGCTAGATCCGCTGGTATGCTCTGGCTACTTGGTTCTGCTCCAGCAATCTGGGTGTGCAGCTGCTTTGGGTGACTGGGGTAGGCGCAAAGCTGCTAAAGCAAAGCAGTGAATCTGGCCCATCATGTCTAGTTCATTAAAAACACAACTTATTATTGTAATACCCTTATTATTTCTATCTCTAGAGCTACACCAGACAGTGATCACCAATGGCTGCAGGCCTGGAGAAAGCTTGTCACCGGTGCATATCTAAAATTGCCAGTAACGGTAAGTCACAGCTGTAGAAGTAATCACCTTCTATTACTTAAACGGCCCTGTGGTTACTATAGTTAGAAAAATGGGCTAATACCAAGTTCATTGCAAGTTAAGGGCATGAGAGTTTAGGCAGCCGTACCACCTTCTGCTATGATCTCACCAGAACTGACAAACTAAGGGCCTGACCCAAAGCCCAGGTAAGTTAGTGGAGGCTCTGGGCATTGGATCAAGCCCAAATGGTCTACTCCTGCCTGGTGCGAAGTAATGACAACTCCTACCTAAATCAATTAGCACCTCACAGGAGGGACTCAGCATGCTGCAGGACTGGGTCCTAAACGCAGGTGGTCCTGGTCAGTACATAGATGGGAGAATCTCAAACTTCTGATTCTGCCTTCTGAGTCAGCACTAAACCAATGTCCCAGCATGGTGTTAGGAGGCACATTGGTGCTGCAGATGTGATGTAAAACTGAGGTCCAGGTACGGAACAAGATATGTTAACTCTAGTGTCCTGGTCAAATTAAATTTTATAAATACACCTTAAAACACTTTACAATGTACTGCACTGCAGAGCCAAATCTGGTGTAATTCTTTTCAAATGGGATCCAACACCACAAGGTGCGGGCGCTGCTCTCATGCGGCGCGAACCACAGCGGCCCCAGGGCGTCCCCCACGCATGATGCGCTGCTGCTGCCAGGGCCGGCTCTAGGCTTTTGCCGCCCGAAACACACACACACAAAAAAAGGCTGGAATGCCACCCCTGAAAATGTGCCACCCCAAGCACGTGCTTGGTTTGCTGGTGCCTAAAGCTGGCCCTAGCCACTACACTCCTTCTTCCATAACAAAATGACCTAAAATTCACAACCCCCTGAAATACAGTCTTCCACAAAGATTACGATAAAATGCACAGACTCTCAAAAGCTAAATTATACTTTGAAGTTACTGATTCCAGTACATTAGAACTTCAGCTAAATATTTCCCACCAATCTCCTGTCCAGTTCTTCAAATGTAGCCTAAAATAGTCTGACTGAAAGCAATTCAGTCTGAAAGACTTTGCTGCTATTAAATCACCCTACTGCTACTCTATCAAATGGCACAGCAAGAGCCCACACTGAATCTTACCTTCTCCCCCGAGGAGCTACCAAATACCAACTGCCTAGGTGAAAAACCTCACCAAGCTACAGAGGGCTGTCATCTAAGGGCATGTCTTCACTACCCGCCCGGATCGGCAGGTAGAAATCAATCTCTCGGGGATTGATTTATCGCGTCTCGTCGGTACGCGATAATCGATCCCCGAATCAACGCGTGTACTCCACCAGCCCAGGTAGAAGTAAGCACCGTCGACGGGGGAGCCGCGGCGGTCGATTTGCCGCTGTCCTCACAGCGGGGTAAGTTGGATCAGATACGTCAAATTCAGCTACGCTATTCCCGTAGCTGAATTTGTGTATCTGAAATCGATCCCACCCCCCACCCCCTCCCCCATAGTGTAGACGTAGCCTTAGGAAGGGCTAGGCCAGACTTGACCTAGGTTGTGAAATCTGACAAGATCCCACTCTGAGGAAATAGAACTGTAGGCAACATTGCTGGGCCGGATTCTCTGTTCCCATCTCTTCTCTTTGCGTTGTTCCAATGACACAAAGGGACTAGAAAGCAGAGACCAATCCCCACTGACTGACTGAGGATTCACATGGTGGGGAACAGTCCCCAGCTCACATAGAGCTTCTATGTCACCCCCACCAATAAAGAGCATAAGGAGTAGTGAGGACGGTGTCCAGAGCACTCTGTGATCTGGCTTTGCTTATTTCGCAAGTGGCTGCTTGGGAGCTGTGACCATCTGGCGCAGTTTAGAGCAGTCCCCAGACTGCTCTAAACTCCACTGGGGCAGTGCCTGGTTCAGAACTGCGTCAAGAAACAAGATGCTTCAGCAACTGGACAGCTCTCCATCACCTCTGTCGCCCCCTGTGGAAACCATGCACAGCAGAGAATCTTGGCCATTATTTTTACCCCTCTCTGGATTTCAGGACAAAGAGGGAAGAGGCAGTGTATTTTCAGATTTCTGTTCCTACCACAGAAACAATCGAAATGTTCCTATTTTCTGCTGGTGTTATAGTGCCATCAGGGCTTCAGGGGTGACTGATGGAATAAATTACGCAGATATGGGTCCAGTTAGTGTCACCTGACATATTTAGAAAGCCTGCAGAATTATGTGGAAAATATGTGAATGATTTTAGGGCCCAGTCCTGCAAACACTAACACAAATTATGCACAATGGGTGAAATTCTCACACATGCCTTCCCCCTCATAAGGCCTAACTGCCACTTAAGTCCCACTTACTCCTTCAAAATAGGTGCCTAGGCCTCATGGTGTCTCTCTGCACAGGGGTGAATTTCACCTGGTGTGACTACTTATGTACGTAAAATCACATATTTGCAGGGTTGGAACCTTATTGAACAGATTCCTTTTACACTGTAAAATGACTGTGCTGTTATATATTATCATAAGTGTTATGTAAGTTTACAGGTGGAAAAGAGCTATTCAATTTATGAATCCACGTTCCTTCCAGTGCAGGACTGCTCCCTGCAGGATACCCTAGGGTGGTTTTTCTACTCCACTTTTAAAATGCTCAAAGGATGGAACTTCTCAACTTCCTCTGCAAGACTATTCCACTAGTAGATCTCACTATAAGGACATTTTTCTTGATGTCCAACGTAACCTTTTCTTTGCTCAATTTCATCCCATTTAGGGCAACCACATTTCCTAAAGTAAAAACAGGATGGCTGGGGCTTGCCTGAGCCCGAGCTGCCCCCCACATACTCCCCATAGGGCTCACCAGAGCCATTCCCTCCCCCCGAGCTCCATGCCCCATGCCACCAATGGCTGGTGCTGATCCCTGAGCCCCTGCTACCCATGGCTGGGGATGGGGCTGACACACACACCCCGAGCTTGGTGCCCTGTACAGCCAGAGGCTGGGGCTGACCCCCCTCCTGAGCTCCACACCTCCCGGGGCTGGGGCTGGTGCTGAACCCCTGGCCCTCCTCCCCTGAGATCCACGCCGCCTGGGGCTGAGCCTCATGCCGCCTGGGGCTAACCCCTAAGCCCCACTGCCTGGTACCTCACATCGCTGCTCCCCACAATGTTCCTCTGCCCCCCTTCCATGGGAAGCACACCCAACTTTTTTGGTAAACTGGGCATTTGTTTTTTGCTCTTCCCAACTGATCAGTTGGGAAGAGTAAACAGGACCAATGTCCATTTTGGGGGGTGGGGGCGGAAGTCAGGACGGCCAGGACAGAGCTTAAAAACGGGACTGTCCCAGCCAAAACAGGATGTATGGTCACCTTAAGCCCATTTCTCGTACTGCATTTAAACCTCTAGGATCACCCCAAATAGTCCATCTTCCTCTTGGGTGCTTGCGCCCTTCAGAGACTATCGTGTCTGGCCAAGCTAACCAGATCGAATTCTGTTCCTCATAAGTTAGTCCCTTCAAGTTTCCTTGCTGTCCTCCTTTGAATTCCATCTCATTCATTGACCTTTTTCTATTATTAAAGGACCCAGAACTGCATGCTGTATTCTCAGGTGCCCAACATATTGACGGTTGTGCTGATGTTTTTTGTGGTGTGGATCTATGTCCACTTAGCATCTGCACTGAGACCACTTACTCATTAAACATACACCACTCGAACAGTCACCAGTGGGCAATGAATTGGGTCATGGCCAGCGGAGGATAGGAGCTCAAGAGGAAGGAGGGTTTTATATTTAAAACACAGGCCCAGGGAGTTAGGAAATCTTTATTCTGTTCCTGGCTCTACCAGAGTTCCTGTGCGAACTTTGACCAAGTCCCTTCACCTCTCTGTGCACCTGTTTTCCCCATCCAGGAAATGAGCATAATAAATACCTATCTCTTCACTCAGAGGGTAACTCATTAATTATATTTTGTAAATGAACAGCTTGGTTAGTACGTTGGGAATCAGGAGACCTGCATTTTATTCCCAGCTAAGCCACTGACTTGCTTTCTGATCCTGAGCAAGTGTCACTTAACCCTTACCCTCTGTGTCCAAGTCTCCCTGTCTGTCAAGCAAATTACAGACTGGAAGACTTAATTAGAGATTAAATCCCCTGAGCCATTCTCTTATTTCTCTTACTTAGGACATGTCTACACTACAAACTTTTGCTGATGCAAATGAATTTGGCATACAGCTGCTGCAGTTAGTATATTGCTTGAGTTCTTCCACCAGCGCTTTGAGTACTCACAAGGAGTGCTGTTTAGATGCACTGTGTGGTGCACCATGGGTAGGTATCCCAATGTGCCACCATCCAGCACACTGTGTTTTGGGAAGTTTTGGCAACGCATGATGGGGCAAAAATGAGTAGTGTTGGGGTAACTGGGACTGCAGGCTGAAATTCCCATCATGCAACCTTCTCCTCCCCATAATGCCATCTCTATCCCATCATTTTCATGCCTATTTTGAAAATCCCACAAACCCACGCAGGATTTGTCGCAGTCCGCAATCTCTGACAGAAGCATAGAGCCTGCAGTGCTCTGGACTGTTGTCATGAGCGTCCCAAGCACAGCGTGCATGATCTTCCAGTATTTGCAGAGCTGCAAGAAGAGTCTCAAGGAACACAATGATTTCCTGGAGGGCAGCTTGCTGTGGGACATAGCCCGAACCAATGCAAGGTTGTTGGTGGTGTTCACAGAGCAGCTGCAAATGCTGGAGCGCTGCTTCTGGGGCCTGAGAAACTAGGACCAACTAGTGGAATCACTTCATAATGCAGGTTTGGGATGACGAGCAGTGGCTGCAGAACTTTTGAGTTCTTCCCCATCTGATTTCCCAGCCTGGCTCCTAGTTCCACCTCTGCACTCTGCAAACTGGGAGGCTCTTCCCCACCACCCTCTGGGACTGTCCCAGCCCCGCCATTCCTCCTTCCATGGGCAGCTTGAATGAAAGCAATGCCACCCAATGGAAGGTGAGCATGGCACCACTGGCCAATGGGAGCTGGAAGTTGCTGGCCTCTTCCAGGTGCGAGGGGAAGGGGTGCGAGGTGGTGGGTGTGAAGATATCTAAAACTGCAGGGCAAAGAGACCAGTAAGTCTGGGGGAGTCCTGACCCTGCACCCCAGCTTCCAGGGGGCCCCTCCCTATGCCCTCAGGTCCCAGCCCTCCAGCTTCCTCGGGGGGCCTTCCCTGTGCCCCCCAGGTCCCAGTCCCTCTCCATGCCCCCCCAGCTCCCAGGGGGCCCCTACATGTGCCCTCAGGTCCCAGCCGAGCAGCTGCCCAGGGGCCCCCTACCTGGGCCCCAGGTCCCAGCCCTGTTCCATGCCTCCCAGCTTCCAGGAGGTCCTCTCTCTGCCCCAAGCTCCCAGCCCCCAAGCTCCTGGGGGGGCCTTCCCTGTGTCCCCTGGTCCCAGCCGCCCTCTATGCCCACCCAGCTCCTGGGGGCCTCTCCCTTTGCCCCCAGGTCCTAACCTCCCAGTTCCCAGTTAAAAGCAAATACATCATGCAAATACATCATGGAACAGAGATTAAAGAAGAGAAGGAACAGTCAAGTCTATTTTAGCTACACATACATTAACTGTGGCTCTCACAGGTCAGTGTATGTGAAGTGGTGGTTGTCCTTACTGTCCCCTAGTGTGGAGTGGTAGGGGTAGGGATGCAGACCCTGATGCCATGTGCAATGCTGAGGTGTGTGTGGGGGGGATGGAGGTGCTATACTGGAGTTCTCCATGGATTGCAAAGGGAGGTGAGCCCATGTTTGCTGAACCTGTAGGTCCATAAGAGTCTGAGCATCTGTGTTTGCTGCTAGAGAAGCCCCATTATGTCCTAGTACATCTCCCTCTCCCTTTTCTTCCTGGGCCTTTTTCTTCTTTGCTCTTTCCTTCTCCATGCAGTCTGCAGTGTTCATCCTTCAGGCCCTCTGCTCACAGTCTGATGCAGCACGGACTTGCAGGCTCTTGTGGAAAATGTCATCTGGAGTTCTCTTCTTTCTCCTCCTTATCTGGCTCAGGTGTTCTGTGGGGGTGGAGGGGGAACCCCTGAAGGCCAGAAGGGCAGCAGCTGCTACAGATAAAACACATAGAGGTACCACTGTGGAAAGCGAAAGTTAAGATTCAGAACTCCCTTCGCTTGCTCCCCTAAAGCTTTATACTAGACATGTTTATTGACGCTTCTGCCTCGGAGTGCTTGGCACTGAATACTGCCATTTTCCACAGGCAGTGGTGATCGTTACCCTCAGGAGTGAGTTATCACCTACAAAGGCACAGAGAGCACAGCTGCTGCTGGCATCCCAAAGCCACTCAGGCTGGATGCTGCTAGCCTGGGTACTGAAATGGAGCCAGCTAAAGTTATCGCTGACTGGCATGGGACAGAGTCCTACCTCAGAAGAAGAAATAAGGCAGCCATCCCTAGAAATCTTCAGGAGAGGATTGCAGAGTTCTTCCATGAAAGTTTCATTGAGATCTCTCAGGAGGATTCAAGGGACATCCCTGTGTACCTAAACAAACTGCTCTACATGGCTCCCTGGTAACTTTACAGGGGAAATGAAGCAGATAACAACGCTACCTCCCTTTGTTGTACTGCTACCTGGTCTAGTAGGAGTAATTTAATGAAAAGTCGAGGGCTGTGTCCTGCTAACAGGGCCAGCTCCAGGTTTTCTGCCACCCCAAGCGGGGGGAAAAAAAAGCCACGGCAGCACGATCGCAGCAATTTGGCGGCAGGTCCTTCATTCCAAGAGGGACTGAGGGACCCGCCGCCGAATTGCTGCCTCAGACCCGGACATGCCGCCCCAACAGTGGCCGGAGTGCCGCCCCTTGGTATTGGCCGCCCCAAGCACCTGCTTCTTTAGCTGGTGCCTGGAGCCAGCCCTGCCTGCTAAGTTGCGTGAGTCATCACCGTAATGGGAAATAAATTTACACACATACCCAAGGTTCCTTCCCCTGCCTTAGGCTCACCTGTGCTCAGCTGCTGGGACTGTCTGGACTGCAGTGGAGTCTCAAATAGTCCTGGCTTGTGGCATAGCTGGAACCCCTGGCTCCATGTCCCCCATCCTCATCCTCGCTGTTCATGGCAGGGGCCTGTGACTTGGGCTCCTCAAAGGTATCCAGAGTGGTGGTGGTGGGGAGTGTCTCTTTCAAGTCTGGCATGCATCTCTTTGTAAAAGCAGCACCTCTGGAGCTCGACACCAGATTGACTGTTGGCTTCCCTGGCCTTCCGCTATGCCTGCCACAGTTCCTTTGCTTTCACGCAGTACTGCTGCTGATTCCTGTTGTACCCCTTGCCCTGCCTGCTCAGTGCAGTCTTCTCATAGATGTCCACATTTCTATGGCTGGTCCATAGTTGTGCCTGCACAGCCTCTTTTCTTCACAGGCGCTGGAGAGCCAATATCTCCTGTCTGCTCCAAGCCAGAGTGCGTCTGACTTGCGTAACTGGCATGGTCAACTGGGCAGTTGCACAGAACAGTGAAGAGCTGCTGGGTGTGGTCACCAAGATGGACAATCAGGAAAAGGCATTTCAAAAATGTGTATGGCTGTTAAGGGGGCATGGCTTCCACTGTCTGGGCAGTGAAGTTCACAATTGTGACCCGAGTGGTCAGTGTGGGGAATTGTGGGACAGCTGCTGGAGGACCATTAGGGTGAACATAAGAAACTCAATGTCTACCTTTGTGCTGCATCAACCTCTGTACGTTGACCATGGCTTAACGCCAGTTGGGGAGGTGGTATTACAATATCAGTGTACTGGAAGTTTACAACGATGGGAGACAAATTTAAGTGTAGACACATGCACAGCTAGATCAACGCAAGGCGGCTTATGTTAACCTGACTTTGTAGTGTAGACCAGGCCTCACATACACCATACACTCACAGTTACACCAACCCCCACCCAACTATATCAGATCTTCTTTCTAAATCCCTAACCCTGCTCTGGAGAATTGCTTTTATTACTGTGAAGCAATAAAATATTAATAAATGTATCTACACATTGTGCACCCAAGCCCCGTTACATTGCCACTTTCCACAGTTACATTTGATGAGTTCACAGTGCTATAGCAAAACACTTAGGTAAGTATGGAATTCATCTGGAAGTTGGTGGTGTCCTGCCAAAGGGACCCCTTGGATCTCTTAGCAAATCGCTGCAGACTCCTACGAAAACACACAGCAGGCTATAGAACAAACAGCATTTAGGAGTGATGGTAAAAGTATGGCCAGCAACATGACAGGTAAACATGGGAGAGCTTGTAACCTGGTCCATCTGGGTTCTTATACCACATGCACGTCATCATGGTATCTAAGAAAGGTGGGTGGATGGGCTGTGCTCCTCAGCCACTTTTGAAAATTCTGACACATACCACAAAGCAAACTATTATTTAGCTTGTCATTTTAGCACTGTATTTTGGATTTTTTTTAAAAGAAGTAAACCTAATGGCTTGAGATAATGTGAAACCTCAAACATTCTTTGAACAATAGTAACACAATAAAGGCTGAGGAGCCCACAAATGAATTGGCATCATTTAAGTACTCTGTGGTAACCCATTTCCTTCACAGGATGAGAGAGAGGGGTCGGCTGTGCGGCCTAAACCTCAGCATGTAATTAGAGACAGCAAAAGCGTGCTGGAGGAGAGGCGAGGACGGGCAGGATGGAGAGCGGTGGCACAATGGCGTTGCTAGGGACAAAGTAACAGCTTAGATCTCAAACCATCAGAGGGAAGAAGAGAAGGAGAGAGTCAAGCAGGAGACAGATCTGAAACTAGTAACTCTGCTAGACAAAGGGTCAGAGTCATGGGTGGCACATACACCCACATTCAGGGAGGCTAGCTCCCTACCCTGCCCCTTCTGCCCAGGTCCTGCCCCTACCTCTCCCCTTCTACCCAAGGCCCCATCTCCGCTTTCACCTGCTGGGGCCAGAGGAACGCTGAGCCCCACACGTCTGTAGGAGCTCCAGGCCAACCCGCCTGAGCCGCCCAGAACCCCAGCTGGCCGGCCTGAGCCACCCCGCATGCCAGCCTGGGCTGCCCCGAGCCCCAGCTCCCTGGAGGAGCTCTGAGCCCTGCCACAGCCTGGGCCTGGGGCTGTGGCGGGGAGTGTTAGCAGAGGTTTGGGGAGGCTTAGCCTCCCCCAGCCTCCATTATGCTCTGCCCATGGACAGAGTCACTGTGGTGCCTGAAAATTCAGTGTCCACGCCCACAATTCAAATTCTGCTGTTGACCGCAAAGTTCAGAGAATGGGCAGAACCTAACCCAGCTGCTTCCTTATGGTTGCACTTCCAGGCTCCCAGAGCATGAGCTCTTCCCAGTCATCCACTTCCCAACACAGCAGGCCCTCTCCATTAACGGGCTCTCTTTTGGGCCAGACACATGGGAACAAACTTCTCCTCCTCCCTGCAATCCAATGAGACATTCCCAGAGCAGGGGGCTTTCTTGACTACCTGCCTCCCCACCCAGTTGTCCAGGTTCCAGGTATGGGTTCCCAGAACACAGTTTCTTCTGGACCAACCTTGGAAAATCAGGAAGCCATCTCCCCTTGTCTTGTGAGTGTGCTCCCAGAACACAAGGCTCCTTTTCTTGCCACTTGCTATGAGGGGTTGGATCCTAGAGGGTGGGTTTCTCTCGCCCAGCTGTGAGGAGATATGGCCACCAACACAGAAATGTTGCCATTTCACTTCCATGAACTGTCGTAAATACAGAGCTATTCCCAGCTCTAGGAGCACGGCACTGTCTGCACGACCTTTGCATACTGCAGTTAAAAAAAGGTTTTCCTGGGCAGCTTAGCCCAGCTCCACAAAGGTATTTAGGTTCCTAACTTTCCATTGATTTGTCCGAAGTCCAGTCAGGGGCAGTACAACCTAGACAAGACAGCCAGTATCTATCTGTGCCATTAGAGGAAAACTCCACAAGTATCAGGGAAAACAATCTTCAGTACTGCTAGTGACGCTTTGTGACTGGCTACAGAACCCTGCCAATTGTATAGTCAATTGTTGAGTGTCTCACTTTGTTAAACATGAATCTGGAAACATTCCCAGACCGTGCATCTGCTGCTCCAAAGCGAAATCTCAGAGCATGAGGCTGAATGGGGCGATAATGAGGAAATACATTCCCAGTGACTGCTTAGGGAAGAGAATTCATTAACCATTATCTTTCTTTTTCTCTAGCTCTGAGTGGTCCCTGCTGCCTTTTTCCTCCTCCAAAATCAAGCTAGCTGATAGAAAGCAGGCAAATACAAAACCAAACACCTGTGTGCCAGATGTGCAGTTCTACATGTACATGTGCCCCGCCAAGCCATTTATAGAGTATACTGGAGCCTATTCCAGTGTTTTTTCTTTGGAACTGATCATAGAAAATATCCATTGCACATTAAAGAATCATGATTCTTCTTCCTACGATTCTCTTTATTCTGTACCCACGTGGTGAGTGTAGGAGAGGGCTGGAGAGGGAAAATGGCAGTGGAAGAGATGACCTACATTCTGCTACACTAGTCATGCTACTTACTTATAACTCCAGACAGTTAACTCAACTACTGAACACCTGAACTGTCCTCTCTAGAATATTAAGTAAATGGGGTTACCTAGGCAACTGGTAGTGTTCACGGGTAAGGTTTAGAGTTCAAAATCATTCCAGTGTATTAGAATAATAATCTGGGTAATGGAACAGTGAGAGGGTCATAGTATAGAACTTGGCATCCATTGTTTTAATGAGAGGTTGTCTATAAAGGCCATTTGAAAGAGCTTAGCCAAGTGTCGGCCTCTTTGCAAACACCTGACACACAGGGAGAATTGCTGCACTGGGCAGTGTTTGAGAAAAAGAGAGAGGATGGTGCAGAAAAAAAAATGGAGGGGGGATGAAGAAACAGAAGTGCTTTCTTCATCTCGAAATACCTTCAGCCCTTTTCAGCTAGTGGATATGTTACAAACACTATGTTTGGGGCTGAAGGAGTGAAGCGTAAGAGCTCAGACCTCATACGCAGCTAATAAAGTTAATGTAGTGTATGGGAGGTAGCATTGTCCAGTGGTTAGAGCCCAGAGCTAGGAGTCAGGAGACCTGGGTTCTGTTCCCAGATCTGTTACTGCCCTTGATTGTTATTACTCCCTTGTGTCTCCATTTCTCCTTCTGTGAGATAGCGATAATAATACTTACCTTCAGTTGGAAAGCACTCTGAGGTCTATGAACAGGACATGCTATATAATAGCTACGTGTGCCGGTGCAGTTGCTAACTTGCTGGGGCTCCATCCGTTCCTGTGCACTGAGACACGAGGAGGGGGTTTGAACTAGCAGGGCTAAGCTGTGCAAAGCTACCTGGGGACTATGCCCTACAGTTCAAGGTTCAAATTTGGCAAACTCAGACCTCCAAAGGAACCTCATACTGCCTTTCTCTAGAGTGGCTTTTTTCTATCCTCTGAGCCACCTCGACCTCCTTGTAGTGCTCTTACTCACCACTGGGATCTGTTTGCAACCTGAGCAACATGTGACCTCTGGAACTCCATAATAACCTTTTTACAGTTACTTTGCAGAGCAGAATTTCACTTTAACAATGCTGAATGCCCATCATTAGGCTCCAAAGTTGACCACTATTGATAAGAATAGGGAGAGTTCACACTTATCTTGCTGCAATTGTTTCTGTCATCTTGCACAGGTAGGCAGACACTGCTGCATTGGGATGCATTTGGAAAACTTTTGTTACCATTACAAGGGCTGGAAACATAATAATTTGAAAATGAACGCTTGAATTTTGCAGAAGATGATGAAGCCCCCACCAGTGCTGGTATGATGCCTGCTCCACAGCCCATGGAGTTCAATAGAAGGACTTCAGGCCCATGATGAATAGGCTATTACTGGCTGCTCCAAGGTGGTGAGACTGCTCAAGTATCACTGTAAAATTCAGTGTCAGCAGGTGAAATACACCACAACCCAGTCATCACTGATCCCACGCAATCCAAATGAAGCTCTCATTGCATTGGATTATGGACACTCCTTGTCCACACGCGTGGTGCAAGGGGACATATTTAATAGGACGTGGTATCTTTTGAAATACTGCCAGCTGAATAACCCACCATTCTTGTTTCTTTACAGCATGCTTTATTTTTGGGCTTCTTGCTTTCCTTGCTTTACCACTGTCCATGGCTTTTACAGGTAAGCTGTCTATCTAAGACGTTTAAAGAGAGGAGCTTGGTGGTATTATATAGTTATATAGCAATGCCACCTGTGAAAAGATTAGTTTGAATCTGATTTATGACACAAGTGTACCTGACTTTGGTGATGTCACCACATATTGTTGTCGACGTCGTACAGTACATACTTGTCACTACATCTGTTTGTCCACGTCATAAAACCACCACAGAGCTTGCTATGATTGTTGATATCTGCTTCGGTGATTCCTTGAGCTGGCGTGGGGTGTGCAGGTCATTATCAAAGCAGGTTGGCAGAGTTATGTGGGAAAAGCATGCTGAATAGGAGTCAGACTCGTAATGATAAACTCCATCCCTTCCACTATTATTTTTCACCCTGTAAGCTTCTGGGGCGATATCCAGGCTACCACAGCAGCCATTTATATGGGGAGCCAGAAATTCCGGCCTTCTAATCCCAGTTCTGATGACTCCTTCTGTAGTTTTGGACAACCCACCTAACCCCTTTTCCTAAATTTCTCCATCTATGAAATGTGGCTCTTTTAATTTTCTTATCTACCTCACAGCAGTGTCAGGAAACTTAATTAGTAGCAAAATACTGCTCACTTTACCCATTTGGCAATCCTGTTGACTCCAATGGGATTATTCATATGACTCAAGCAGGATTTGGCCCAGTTATTGGAACCTGAGTTGAAGATGAAAACAACCATATAAGTGCTAAAATAATACTAATACTGATAATAAATAGCAAGAAACAGGTACAAAGGCAATTTCACCCAGAACTTGCATCCTGAATAAAAGACATGGTGCAAGTAGGGTGACCAGATGTCCTGATTTTATAGGGACAGTCACGATTTTTGGGTCTTTTTCTTATATAGGCTCCTATTACCCCCCACCCCCTGTCCCAGTTTTTCACATTTGCTCTTTGGTCACCCTATGTGCAAGTCATTGAATTGCTTGTGAACAAAATAGAGTGCACTGTATAGTATATGTCCAGTATACGAATTCACCTCCAAACAGCCAGAAGAGTGAACTGCTCTTTCTGATCCACGGAACACTCTTCAGGCTGCAGTTGAAAAAATATTCATTTCAAACACAATTCACATGCCTCTAAGTATAAAGAAGGCTGGGTATGGCTGGACTCAGGTCTGAGCTACAAACTAAACAAACAAAAAGGTGAATGTTGCTCTTTCCTACAGTGGTTTGATTGCACTATAGGAATAATTTCACAGTTAAAATACTTTTATGAACACTGAGAAGTATGACAGGTTTCAGAGTGGTAGCTGTGTTAGTCTGTATCAGCAAAAAGAATGAGGAGTACTTGTGGCACCTTAGAGACTAACAAATTTATTTATTTAAAGCATAAGCTTTCGTGGGCTAAAACCCACTTCATCGGATGCATGCAGTGGAAAATACAGTAGGAAGATATATTTACACAGAGAACATGAAAAAATGGGTGTTGCCATACCAACTCTAACGAGACTAATCAATTAAGGTGGGCTACTATCAGCAGGAGAAAAAAAACGTTTGTAGTGATAATCAGGATGGCCCATTTCAAACAGTTGGCAAGAAGGTGTGAGTAACAGTAGGGGAAAACTTAGCCTGGGGAAATAGATTTTACTTTGTATAATGACCCATCCACTCCCAGTCTTTATTCAAGCCAAATTTAATAGTGTCCAGTTTGCAAATTAATTCCAGTTCTGCAGTTTCTCTGAAGGACGATCCCTCACTCTCACAGATCTTGGGAGACAGGCCAGTCCTCGCTTACAGACAGCCTCCCAACCTGAAGCAAATACTCACTAGCAACCACACACCCCACAACAAAAACACTAATCCAGGAACCTATCCTTGCAACAAAGCCCGATGCCAACTCTGTCTATTCAGGGGACACCATCATAGAACCTAATCACATCAGCTACACCCAGGGCCAGCTCCAGCTTTTCTGCCGCCCCAAGCAGAAAAAAAAAAAAGACGAGCGGCGGCACTTCGGCAGAAGCTCAACCGTGCCGCTTCTTCTGTGGCAGATCGGCAGCAGGTCCTCCCTCTCTTTCTCTTTGACAGCAATTCAGCGGCAGCTCAAAGAGGAAGAGAGGGAATCAGGGACCCCCCCGCCGAATTTCCGCCGAAGACCCGGACATGCCGCCCCGATACCGGAGGGAGTGCTGCCCCTTTGAATTGGCCGCCCCAAGCACCTGCTTGCTACACTGGTGTCTGGAGCCGGCCCTGGCCACACCATCAGAGGCTTGTTCACCTGCACATCTACCAATGTGATATATGCCATCATGTGCCAGCAATGCCCCTCTGCCATGTACATTAGCCAAACCAGACAGTCTCTATGCAAAAGAATAAATGGACACAAATCAGACATCAAGAATTATAACATTCAAAAACCAGTCGGAGAACACTTCAACCTCCCTGGTCACTCAATTACAGACCTAAAAGTTGCAATTCTTCAACAAAAAAACTTCAAAAACAGACTCTAACGAGAAACTGCAGAACAGGAATTAATTTGCAAACTGAACACCATTAAATTAGGCTTGAATAAAGACTGGGAGTGGATGGATCATTACACAAAGTAAAAACTATTTCCCCAGGCTAGTTTTTCCCCTACTGTTACCTATGATTCAGCTAAGGGTCTATGCTGCCCCTGGCCTCAGCTCTATGTCCACTGGGTGCTACTGCAGAGACTATGTGTCCCAGACAGTCAGAGATGCATTGATTCAGCATATCTCGAAAACTTATCCTGATTGAGCTCTTATATAGACCTGGCCATCACCTAAAACTGTTGCCTATCCCAAGGGAGAGTGGTGATGGGGTGAATGCGACAGGGCTGCAGGGACCAGGCTAGTGCAGGGAGGTGTCATTACACCATGGCATAATTTACACATTGGCAGCCAGCCTTCAAAAATGAACAGGGCCAGTGCTACCATTTAGGTAAACTAGGCGGTTGCCGAGGGCGCCAAGATTTGGGGGTGCCAAAAAGCGGTGCCCCCAATTTGTTTTTTACAGCGTTCCTATGCCCCCTCCCCGAGCATGCCATCGCTGCTCCACTTCTCCCGCCTCCCAGGCTTGCAGCGCCAATCAGCTGTTTGGTGCCGCAAGCCTGGGAGGGGAGGAGAATTAGAGCGGGGGCGGTGTGCTCGGGGAGGAGGTGGAGCAGAGGTGAGCTGGGGTGGGGAGCTGCCACACGGCTCCCCGGGCCGGGAGGGTGGGGAGCTGCCACGGGGGTGCCTCGGAGGGGGGGGAGCTGCCGCAGGGCTCCCCACCCCAGCTCACCTCTGCTACGCCCCCTCTCCGAGCATGCCGTCGCTGCTCCACTT